TAGATGAAAACAACAAGAAATTTGAAACCAGTTAGTGAAATTTCTAAATGTATCCCAAAAAAACTAAAAAAAAACTTATATGCTTACTTGAGGTGAACGAATTCTGTCCACAAACTACAATAAAAAAACATTTACTGAATAAATTCCTAGATGTGATTGTGCATCAGAAAAGTATGTTACAAGGCGTGCTCCATATATCAGTGCTAACTTATTTAACAACCAAAAAAAAAGATCAGCTAAATGCCAATATTGATATTGGATTTTAATTGTGTATGCTAATTTCCATTTTTATATTTTTATTACCTTTGCCATCATCTAATGCTCAATTAAAGTTCATCTTAAAAAAAGACACTAAGAACACTGGTAAATGTAATATTTACCAGATTTCAAAATGAATATCAAATCAATACATCAATACAATATACTGAACATTATAGCCTAAATTTGTGTGTATAATTTAAAATTACAGAATTTTTAAACAACTGATTTAAGAATTTTGCCATAAATTAAGTTTACAACTTGGATGGAAACATAGCTAGTGTGTGTGTGTGTGTGTGTGTGTGTGTGTGTGTGTGTGTGTGTGTGTGTGTGTGTGTGTGTGTGTGTGTGTGTGTGTGTGTTGAAGGCAATAGAGAACATGGTAAGAATTGAACAGGAAGTGCACCCTCCCCACTTTTACGACAACCAATCAAGTGGTGAGAAAGAGAGAAAGATAAAGAAACAAAAGGCAATGCATGCTGCATGACATTTCAACTACACACCACATGTAGAGAATTATCGATGTCTATCGTCCATGTGGCGTCAGTACCTGACCATGTTGCTCTAAGTACAGCTGAACTACTCGCATTGTTGCAAACCAAACCAACATCCTGTTGACTCAAGAGTTGACCACCTACACACTGCCGCTGTAGTTCTTCTAGGTCTGGCCAAAGTTCTCACCAACCATCTGCACATTGTGCACAAAGGTATTTTCACAAAGAAACCTTCAGGATCACAACACTGAAGCCTTATGATAGGAGACGGAGGGCAGACTGGGACAGAGCCATTGCCTTCAGCAGTCACTGAAAGTGGTGAATACTGCGTTCAGATATGCCACAGATGAATCTGAAACCCATGGAAAAACCCATTTGACATCCTGCCCAGGGTAAAGGACTAGATCTGGGAACAACTGCACATGGGAATTTGCAGTCAACTTGACCAGACAAACTATAATTCTCTGTTGTCTAGCAAACAAATGCGTCATCTGGGCCATCGAAAACATAAACTACTCAGTGGGACATTGTGATAGCACAGGAACATGATATCCTGTCGCGTGCTCCTCAGAGAATAGATGGGAAGTTTGGGACAGTGCCTCAAAGTGGCGTATTTCTAAACTTGATATAAATTAGAGGAAGCCAGACAGTGGAAAACATCAATAACATCACAAAAACCAAACACGCATTGGGCCTTAGTTATGAAATACAATAACAAAACAGAATGAATTGTTCACATTCTTACATAAAATGTCCCATTTCATCTGGCCTGCTGCCCTGCTCTCACTTCATCAATGCAATTCACTGGCAAAACATCATTCAGTATGTATTATTTATTTCAGAAGCAAATTTCTAATGTGTTTGGCTCCATCTTTTGGAAGACTTTCCACAGAAGTTCACAAATTTAGTCTGGAGGAGGCCTCAAAAGGGACAACATAAGAATTTACTGTGTTTTGATAGATTGGCTCAGAGACACATCAATACTACTCAGAATGAAACAAAAATGACTCTTTTCTGAGCACAGGGTTTTTTCATCTGAGATTGAGCAGGTGTGTGTTGATATATCAGGCCATCTCAAAGAGTCAATTTAGCAGTAATAATATTCACTATCGGCCTGTTCATCCTGCTTCTAATCAGGTTAAATTGCGAGCCATCTAGTGCTTCCTTCACCAGTTAGTGTCATCTGTAGGCAACCTGATAACATATCTAGGCTACTTAGAAGACAAGAGAAAAAGAGAGAGTTACAAAGAAAGCCTGCCAGCTCATCATAAATCCTGTATGGCTCGACACCACCATCATTCATCCTGCTACAAATATCATGCTCTAAGAAGGGGAAAACAAAATTAACTGGTTCTGATTTTGAAGAAATTAACCTTCTGATTACTAAGTTCTTAAATTACAAGTTAATAAATAATCAGAACTTTAACTGTCCCACAGCTTTTCTCACTGAAGCCCAAAACAGTCCGTAAAAAGTAAAGGCTCAAAGAGCTCCTCCTAAGTTATGCACATGGACATGAAGCAAAATATAACTGAATGAGGCCAGCTGGCCTGTCGATACTGATGTAAGATGAAATAGAGGCCTTCAAAAAAAGACTCATCTCGAATACTATTCCATCAGTGAAAAAACCACTGACTCAGTTTCCTGAGACTGGCATCACAGGCATTGTTTCATAAATGACTGCACAATCTAGATCTCGTGTACAGTGTTCGGTCTAATGTCACAGTCAGACATCTGAATCTGATAGGAATAGGATCGTCCCTTGTGTTGGACTGAATCATTATTCAGTTGCTCCAAATGTCTGCGACAGCTGCTCATGCAGCAGATAAGAGCTCATGCTGGTGTAGGATTCGCAGCTGGTCAGATCAGTCCATGATAAACGGCCATAATGTTGAGGACAACTGCTTTTCACAACAAGAGATTATTTATATTAGTGTCTGTCACTGTAACAATACAACATAGCAGAGGTAGACGGATTATCAGTTTGATCAATATTTTAGATATTAACTTATATATATATATCTGGTCTAATGATGCCATTTGCTGGTTAATACATGGTTTAGCTTAAGTAAAATGAACCTTTACCTAACTTGCATTTATTCTTAAGAAATGTGTAGCATTTGTCTTAATTAGACAGTCCAAAACTTTGCATAAAGATTAGGTGTTAAAATAAAACATATAGCCTATTAATATTTTAGACTGAATACCAGAGTAAGCTAACTTCGAAGCCACAATAAAACATAATATCGGTGTATTTCTAAAACATAATATGCATAAAAGCCTAAATTAAGTACTTGATCGCATTTTGTTTCAAGTAAGGATACAACTTATAGCTAACGTTACTCGTAACGATTCTTGAAAGGCTCTCATGTGGTCTTACAGTAAGCACGCTGGGTAATAATGAGACAAAATTATCCTCAATGAAGGATACAGAACGGGCGATAAATAGAAAGACAGTTAAAACAAAAGTAGCGTCAAGTCTGACTCAAAACCTAAGACGCCGTAACAAGTTGAAACTGCTTGATTTCACGAGACACAAGCATTCGAGCTCGTTCCAGTACGGAGCAGTATGGATTCCTGTCCCGCATAAAACAGTCATGATTGTGGTAAACTTTTGCCTGAACTTACCCGCTCGCTTCCTCTCGGCCGCTCGATTCCGGTCCTGCGCTCCGAAACACTTTTCAGATCAACTCCTGAAAATATCACATTTGAGGAACAAAGTCAGTCCAGATAACGGGATAAGAACGGGTCTCGCCAGGCTCATTTACACGAATAATGTCATGAAACTTTTCTTTTCGGCTCTGCCTTCCTTTCCTCACCCAGTCTACCCCCCTTTTTCCACGGTCCAAAAAAAGTCGCACTTCCGCGATCTGATGGCTGCTGCTTGTATCATGTGGTTTGTCGTCCACGAGAGCGCCCGCACCTGGTTCTCTCAGCGCGCGCCCTTGACCTGTTTTCTACATTCAGAGACGGCGATTTACAGTCGAAGAAGAATTAAAATGTCCCTAAACAAGGATATGAACTCATTCATGGACTTTCCCGGGCGTTTATGGTCATTAACTCATTAATGACAAGGAAACTATAGCTGTAATTAAATTACGGAGGACATAAAACAAAATAGGCTACTACATAAAACATATAGGCTACTGTTCGCCGTTTACAAAACACGAAGCGAGTGTGACAACAGTTTAAATGTCTCTCTTATGTTTTATTAAAAAGAAAATAGTCTTCGATCTCATATCAATTTAATGTGCAATCCCGAGTATTTTTTAGTAGTCTATTAATGAGATTGTTTAACCAAAAATGATAGTTATATTATTCAGTCACGGATTTTCCAACCAATATGACTTTATATTTTCTGCGAAAGAAAAAGAAAAAAGTGTGATTAATAATGCCTCAAAATGCAGTGACAATAATGAATGGTGACTTGGGCGAGCTTCAAAAAGGATAAATCGCTGTATATAAAAAAGTAGCCCATAAAAGTGTCCAATAGGAATAGGATCATTCGCTATATGGAAAGTCATACCAGCATTTGAGTGAGTGCTGTGAAGGAGCATTGGTTTAATCTACTGAAGATGTGTGAACCACATTTACAGCAGCACTATAACTTCTTCTTTTTTTTTCTTCTTTTTTTTTGATAACTGAAACTGAATAAACTAGGTCAGGGGTCTTCAGCAGGGGGTATTCAGCATTGTTTTCTCACAAATTTTGCGGAATCAATCAATCAATCAATCATGCCCTGCAGTTGACAAGATTAAAACATACAGTTATAAAAAAATAATAAATAAAAAAAATATCCATTTAGCAGACACTTTTATTCAAAGTGATCTACAAGAGAGGAGCAAGCAATTAGTCAGGGAGACAACAATATTTGCAATAGCCTTTACAATGCCAGGTTTGGGCGATAATTCGATTAGAGGAGAAATGGAGAGATTTTTTGTTTGTTTTTTGACATCTGATGTTTTGCTAGTTGCTATGAAATGCATATGATGCTTAAAATGCACTTTAAATGCATATGCTGCTTAAATGCATTTTAAATAGTTGGTATGAAAAATAAAAACAAATACGTCAAATGAGACACACTCGTGTCGTGTCGCCACCTACTGATGTAACATGCAGACTAAATAAATCAGACAAAGAATCTTTGTGTTGAACCGATTCAAAAGATTCGAATTACTAAAATGATTTAAAATCCCCACCGCTAGAGGGCACCCATGGTTTGAAGCTGCTATTTCTCCTCTGGGTTTGAGGACTACAAACTGAACTAGGAACCGAACAGCTTTTCCACAACACAGAAGAAAGAGCACGCAAACTTTATTGGTTGCCCGTGGCGGTAGATATTTTTAAAAATGGTGCGCGTGTGTGCTTTTCCTGGATGCTTCAATCAAGAGAAATCGCTGAGACTCCGTCAGTGGGCATCGATGCAGGAGGAAAGTTTGACTTTTCACACATTGCCCCTAAATGATGTAAAGAGATTGAATCGGTGGCTACTCGCTCTTCGTCGAGATAGTGGATCACCCATTCAGTCTGTCCGTGGATTGAGGGTGTGCAGCGAACATTTTTCACCAGACGATTTCAGTGTAGCCAAAGGAAATAAAAGACGACTGAAATCAACAGCTGTACCTAAGCAGTTCGTGCGACAACGAACTAAGGTAGGTGTGGAAATAAAGATTTAGCATAATCATATTTAGAGCATCTCAAGTGGGGTCGACTTTCGTTTATGTTTAAAAAAATATGTAATTAACGTTATAGAGCTTTACATTTAACTGGTGCAATGGGTGCTACATCATAAATCCCCAGCAGTAATGCAGTACATTTAGTATAGTGTGCGGTATGCGTAGACTGCCCGTATAAATATGGTACACATACTATTAAAATGACAGAAAAGCAAAAAAATTTAACCGTCAGACACATTTTTGTGTCAAAGCTGCTTTCAGTTTGACATATGACTAACTACAGACGAAAACTGTTGTATTTTCACAATAAAAAAAGTTTAGTCTTCTGTTTTCAAAGGAACACCTAGCCGCATGTACAACAGAATCAACGATTCAATTTTATAAAGAATATCTGCAGATAGTCTGCTTTCACTTCTCGAGGAAGTTCCCGCCCTCTTTGCGCTGAATGGTCTGTTTATTAAGGAAGTAATGCAACGCCTCGTTTCAACTGGCTAACAAGCATCACGTGATATAAGAAGCGCAACCAAGTTTTGTTTGCTTACTGATATGTAACTCGCGTGGTTAGGGTGAGTTCTTGTTCGATAGTATTTACAAATCAAGCAACTTTTTAAAAGCAGAATCACGATTCGTCATTATAGTTGCACGTTTTATTAGCTAGTGTCCTTAGCTAGTATCAATGTTCACGGCTGACTTGCTAATAGCCTTCACCCAACGAACCTGCGGAGCACTTGGGACTTTACTCGCATGACCGTGACAGAGGAGACTGTAACTTCATTTTGGCCGACTGTAATGTTTTCATTGATTTGACGCAGTCTTGAATGAGATAAGTGGTTCCTTGAATAGCATTTAGGTGACCACGCAATCCGGACTAACTGCAGAATCTCGTTACATGCATTACAGGTAAGGGAAGTAAACCATTTTGCTAATAAACGTTTCTCTGCATAGGAAAAAGTAGATATTTCTATAATATCCAGCTGCTGTGTCAGACCAGTAGATAACCGTGGGACTCTTAATCGTTAAAAATGTATTGTTTTTCTTCATTAGGCATGTGAAGTAATTCTATAGTCATGGCATGCTTATCAATACAGACAGAGCTGGCAGAAATAGAGCAAGTTCTAGTTTAACTGAAATATAGCAGTGACATGTAACATGCAGTGACAGCTGTTTCTGCTTTAGACTGATGTTGAATTAGAAATATAATGGAAGTGCACTACTGTAGCAGAATTACAGCAGTTATGAGGTGTAAATTGTGTAATGATTTTGTTCTTGACATCTAAGGTAGGACTGCTCGATTTGCACAATTTTATTATGATGAAATTGCAATTTGCAAATAAAAAATACAGTTGTTTAAAGACCCAGGTTTCCTGTGCATGTTTGTAGTACTGCGGAATTTGGCCATAAGTGTTTAATTTATATATCAATATGACAACAACAATAATAGTAATAATAATTGTTAGTGATTACAATATTTAGCAAAACAATAATAATAATAATTAATAATAAATATAAATAATGGTACTATTGTAATATTTCACTGTAAAATAGGCAAATTGAGCATTTAAGAAAAATATTACAATAATAATTTTCTATATAGTACAACAACAACTGTTAAATTACAATCCTAATATTCATGACTTTTTATTTTTCTTCTTTTTGTAACTTTAAACCATCAATCTTTTATATTGATAGAAAACCACAGGGAGTCCTCAGAGCTTCTCTTTTGTTGACGACAGCCGGTTTGTAAGCGTTTATCATTACAACTTTGTGAAGATGGTTGGTGCATTTTAGCTTTCCAAATTTACGGTATAAAAGCGAACCAAACTCAGCACTTGCAGATAGGAGATCGTGTGGAGCGTCAATAACTGAGCTGCTCTGACGCTGAAAAAGCTGGATCATCATGAGCTCCTTGCATGTAAATGAACACAGTGTCGTGCTTCACTCTGAAACATTCAGAGCATATTCATTTAAATGGCATTTAAGACATGTTGTGACTTCTTTGGTTTATTTCGATTAATCGTGCAGCCATAAGTTTATTTCAGAAAATCACTTTATTTATTTATTTTTATTAAAGGTATCTCTCGGTTTCATGTTTTCCTGAAGTCAAACACTGTAATTTGTGGATTCAGAAGAGCAGAAGAGTCAGAAGAGTAGTTTTATTGCTCAGACTTTTGTGCTTGTTCCCAACAGACCATCTCCTTCTGTCTCTTCCTTTTTCTTTCACTTCCTTTCTCCTGTCATCATTTTCGACTAAATGCTGCAGGCATTGCCTAAGATTAGGAGAGCAGTTAAGAGGGTTCAGCGAATCGGTGCCCAAATCATCCCAATGGCTCAGAACTGCAATGCATCCTCCACGCAGAAAGATGGTGCTGTTACAGCAGCTATTCTCATCATAGGAGATGAGATCCTCAAGGTAAATGACCATTTATTTTTATAATAGTCACAATTAACCCTTTGTCTTGTATGTACTGTTATTTGTATGACTTTTATATTCGCTCTATAGGGATTTTGCTTACCTGTTTTCTGACCATTCTGACAGATACAGGAAGGTTTCCACGTTTTAAGCAGAAATGAAACTTTTAGAACTACTTAAAAAGCAGTATGTTAAAAACTTTTGGTTTATATGCTTACATTGCAGGGTCACACTGTCGACACTAACAGTGGCTTCCTATGCCGTGGACTTCGCAAGCTTGGTGTCACCATAGAGCGCATCACTGTGGTACCTGACGTCCAGGAAGTCATCGCTAAAGAAGTGGCCCAGCTTTCGTCCTCCGTCACTCACCTCATCACATCTGGTGGCATCGGTCCCACTCATGACGATGTCACTTTTGAAAGTGTTGCTATGGCATTTGACGAAAGTCTGCATGCCCACCCTGAACTGACAAAGCTAGTGGAGGGATTCTTTGGCACGGTCACTCCTGACAGCGCCCCCATGAAACTTGCCATGGTCCCCGTTTCTGCCAAACTCAATTTTGGCATAGACCCTCAGACAGGCCAGCGAAATCGCTTCCCTCTAGTCAGTGTCCGCAACGTATACATATTTCCTGGCATCCCCTCTTTGCTGGAACGGTCGTTCAATGGACTTACCCATCTGTTTTCAGGTTCTGGTATCACCTTTCACACCCGTGAGGTGTTTGTGGATGCGGATGAGACTGAGATCGCCCGGAGTCTCACAAAACTGCAGGCAGGTTGGGGGAAGCGTGTCTCTCTGGGCTCTTACCCAGACTGGCTTAGTAATTATCATCGTGTCCGACTGGTTCTGGACTCAGACAGTGCGGAGGAGGTGGAACGGGCACAAACTCAACTGATAGAAGAGCTACCTAATGGATCTGTGGTTCCTCTCATCACTGACTCGGTGTCAGTCGCAACTGAAGAGGTGTACTCGCTCTCAAAAAGTGGTAAGCTTCTTTCTAGCCATATCTAGGAACTGTTGTTGGTCCGTTACATGTGTTAAATCTTGACCAGTTTACGTCTCCTAAATCAGTTGAGAATAACCTTGTTAAAACGTGTGAATTTAGCTGTAAGAGAATCTTCTATCATTAAATATCTGACAGAGACACTGCTGGGGAAGAAAGTAGCTGCAGCATTGGGGATCATTGAGATGGCGCTGGATAAATACTCTGCTGATGAGCTCTGTGTTGGCTTCAACGGTGGCAAGGACTGCACAGCTCTACTGCATTTATATTATGCTGCTCTAAAACGGTAAGAGGCAAAATTAAAGACAAGGGGTTGACAAAAAGGAGCTTGTGGGCTGAATTAAATTATGGTTGGCAAAATAAATGTATTTGAGAAAATATTACAGACAGCTGTACAAGCCTTTACCACAAGCTTTCATGCTTGTGGTTGCCAGATTTCACAGGCCTAAATCCCCCAATCAGAGCTTTTCTCTTAAAAGGAAACATTTTCTGACAGGTGTTTTGCTTAATCTTTGCAATCTGGCAGCCATGCGCACATGCTCACTCTGTGATGTGACAAAACAGACAAACAAGTAAGCTGGAGTTCAATGATCTTCATTGAGATATACTGCTTAAATGAAAGTGTCGTTCTTTCAGTCAGTCTGTGTTGCCGCTTGCGCTGTTTGCTGCGACTAAATCTGCGATCAAACCTTCTTGGTGATTAACTGTAATAAATCCAAACATGGATCTCGACTATACTTCCGATTGTTGATGCTGAATAAATGCACTTATGCAATGTCTATGTGACATTACAGTCTTGTATGCTGTTAAGTAAGTCATTAATGTAATTTTGAATTATTAGAAGTACTATTAGGAATTTCACCTTTCTAATTTTTAAGAAGTTTCTTGTTTTGCCTGTTTTCATAACATGCGCGGCTCGCCAAGCTTTAATTTGTGGCTCGCACGGCGGTAAATAATACAATATGATCATGCCGTCACTACAGATATTTCATAAAAACATTAAAAACAGGGCTATAACATAACTCATTAAAAACTCAGTGTCAGCTGTATTACAAATAATTTCAATCAGATTGAAAGGGGTGGTTTATTCCTTTTCTAATCCGATCGAGAGAACATCTTGATCGGATTGAAAACTGAAACTGAAAGGACGACGTATGACGTGCTGAACGATTCCTGTTGAATAAAGTGTCTTATAAATAAGTGTCCCGTCATTCTAAAATTCTCCTTTTACTCAGCGTCTGAAGTGGAGCAGGACAACGTCCCACCAGTCCTTGTTTTAGATTCTCATCAACAGACGACTGGTTTTGGGCGTTTTTACTAAAACTCTTTAGTAAAAGATAATAAATTTACGCCCAAGATAATAAATATAAGCAGCACGGCACAACGGTTCATGCTCATAGTCTCCAAATTATGAACAGAAATGGATAAATATTAAGTCCGCTGTTTAAAACAAATAAAGAACCAATCTAGGAGATGGTTATTATGCGCAAACAGCGGGAAACTCAAATTCATTCCGTTTTGAAGCTTGTGACATATAAACACTCACATCAACCCGATCACGTTTTTAGCGTTCATACAAACTACAATACATTCAGATTCATCAATCAGAATGGTTAGATATATGATGGGCTAATGTAGAAAAAATGACTCACGGTCATTAAATTCTGGGATGATTATATTCTGGAAATCCTGCTTTTTTTGTCATTAAGGGAAATCATCTTGTCTCAGTTACAAATTTGACTGGTAAATCATAAAATAATGTTTTTTTCTCCCGCCCTTTTCTATTTATTGCAATGCAATAAATGCTATTTATTACATTGTATGTTCAGGGATGACCGATTGATAAGCAGACATGGTATTTATGACATGATGTAACTTTTGATACTTGTTTGCTGTAAAATTGGCTCTCCTACTGAATTTGTCCCATCAGTGTGGCTCTCATGAAAAAAATAGTGAAGACCACTGACATAGAGAGTGTTTAATTTAAATAATAAAATCAGGAAACTAAATGAGGTAAAATAAACCATGCGTATGAGTTGACATTCTCTTGGTTTGTGCTAATGTAAAAGAATGCAATAATTCTGATTAAATGTAAGAATAAATTTCTCAAATGACAACAATCATTGCGATTTATCATTTTTAGCAAAATAATCTGGATTATCAATTTAACCATTATGCAGCAAGACAAAAGTTTCTACTGACTACAACTAAAAGGGCCAGACATGTAGTCGAATAAAACTTGAAAAAACAGGACAAGGTTGACTAAATGATAAAAATTAAAAAGTACATTTGATAAAGGACTAAGATTGAATTAAAAATAGCTAACAAAATTAACTAATTTGTACAATTTATTTGTACACTTCATGTACAATTGAATTAATGAACAATAACATATATATTAACCGTCTTTAATAAATAATAAAATATCAAACCAAATTACATTTGTTTTAAAGTGATAATTTAAACAAAAATTCTAATTGAATTTACTTTGTTGTTATAAACCTGTATGATTTTCTTTATACTGTTGAGCACAAAAGATAGACATTTTTCAAAACAAATTATTTTGCGTTCCACAGAAGAAATAAATTAATATTTTTGGAATGACATGAGGCTGAGCAAATTCATTTTCTTTTGGGGTGAATTATTTCTTAAAAAGGATTAGTTCACTTTAAAATGAAAATTAGCCCATGATTTACTCCTCAAGCCGGTGTATATGACTTTCTTCTTTCAGACGAATACAATCGTAGTTATATTAAAAAATATAAGTTTTTAAAATACTTCCAAGCTTTATAATGGCAGTGGATTGTAACCAACAAATTAAAGCTCGAAAACGTGCATCCATCCATCATAAACGAACTTCATGCGGCTCCGGGGGGTTAATAAAGGCTTTCTGAAGCAAAACGATGAGTTTGTGTAAGAAAAATATTCATATTTAACACGTTACAAAATAAAATTCTAGCTTCCGGCCAAACAAACAGAAAATCGCTCGGAACCATAAAATATGACCAAAGGCCTAGCATCAATTGTTTGCAGATGTCATGTGGTTTGATATTTGTATCTATGCATGCAGTGAATTCAGTGTAGCTTAAGGGTCCAAATACTTTTTGGGGCACTAGAGACATTTATAAATGCTCTGTGTTAGATTTTATGTCCAAGTATAATTAGTAAGTGTCTCTTTTTTTTGAAAGAGCAATGGACTTGCTGAAGTTTCACAGATATCCAAAGCTCACGCTGAGCTAATTTAATTGTTTACTGGCACTTTCACCAGACTCACACTAGGACACAGCAGGCTGTGCTCATGCCTTGGTTACATGAGCTTTACAATATCACATGCAAGCGTCAGTAAATTAGTTTGAAGAATTCAGATAATATGATTTAACTTTTTTTTTCTCTCTCTCTCTCTCTCTCTCTCTCTCTCTCTCTCTCTCTCTCTCTCTCTCTCTCTCTCTCTCTCTCTCTCTCTCTCTCTCTCTCTCTCTCTCTCTCTCTCTCTCTCTCTCTCTCTCTCTCTCTCTCTCTCTCTCTCTCTCAGGCGGTATCCAGATGGTAAAGACAGGTTGAAAGCTCTGTACATTCGAATTGTCTCTCCTTTTCCAGAAATGGAGAGGTTTTTGCAAGATACCATTAAAAGGTAAGACAAGGTGCCTTTCGAAAATAAAATAAAATAGGTACTGCAATGATTTAAAGGAGAAAATGGAAATCTGGAACGGTTTTCTTTCCTCCTGAGTAGGTAAATCACAGACTGGTGGCTCTGGCATCTCTCCTGGAATCTATTCTGACAAAATTTCTGAATTGTGATGTTTTTCAAACAGGCTTTGAGCTCTTATGATATGTGTTACTGATGTTAGAATCACCAGCTTGTTTATCCACATGTATAAAATGGGATCTAGCACCTGTCAGTCTCAAGTTCAATTCACTTGTGAGAGAGACATTAAAGCGAGAAGTGCCATCCTGCAAACTGTAACAGACTGGTTTTTCAGCGGCAGTACAGAGGCTGTTACTTAACCACGATGAGTTGAACATGGATCCAACCTCATTAATTCATCAGTGTCCATCAAAGCTCCATAGGTGTAATTATCTGGCACATCTCTTCCTCTCTCTTCTGTAGATATGACCTGGAGCTGATCTCAGTGGAGGGCAGTATTCGGCAGGCTCTGAATGAGGTCCGGGAAAGGAGGGCGGATTTACGGGCCGTCCTGATGGGAACAAGACGGACCGACCCTTATTCGCAGACGCTGACACCCCTATGTCCCACAGACCCGGGCTGGCCTGATTACATGAGGGTCAACCCACTTCTGGTGAGGGGAGGGGGGCCGTTCAAAAGTTTGTGCTCCTTGAGGCTGCATTTATTTGATCAAAAACAGTAAAAACATTATTGTGAAATGTTATTACAATTTAAAATAAATGTTTTCTGTTGTGAAATATATTGTGATGGCAAAGCTGAATTTTCAGCAGCTATTACTCTAGACTTCAATGTAGCATGGAGCTTAAGAAACATTTATTATTAACAATTAGAGCCCGACCGATATATCGGCGCGCCGATATTAGGCATTTTCCTAACTATCGGTATCGGCCTTTATAATGGCCGATAAATAAATATTTTTAAAAATGCGGGTGCGGTGATTCATGTAAGGGTGGCGCTGCCAATAAAGCACATAAAAGCTGTCACAAAGAACTGGCAAAAGTAATGATTGCGAATACATCAAATATAGCAAGGAGACATTTTAATTTTTTATTAATAAACAAGTGTTTTCAGTCAGTGTCGCTGCAAAGTTGACGACACTGACTCGCGATCTTCAGCGAACAGGCCAGAGAGAAATGCACATTTCATACGGATTACAGCAGAGAGCAGTCTGTCTTTCGTTTTAAATTGTTCTGTTTAAAAGTAGACATTTCAATATAGATATATTTCAGCTGAATTTGTTAATTTATAAGACGAGTTGCAGTTCACGCGCCGGCCGGCGCCTCCGTGTCAAGATTATCTATTGTCTGCTATATTTACTTCTTATGTATTAAATCCAGGCAATTGGTTGATGAAACATTGATTAAAATTAGGATACAATTAATACAAAACGAAATTCACTTTAATGAAAGGCTTTGTGCTTTCTGTTTTGAGGGCTCTGTGAAAGTTTTAAAGTCGTTTAGTGCCGCTTTGAGAGCTTGTCACATCCGTTGTTTTTTCCTCATAAATGCGAACACGAAAAATAAAATAAAATGAATATTTTATGTTCTGTTGAGAGCCAACCAGGGCCTGAAATTAACACCCGACCACCTGCCAAATGCGGGTGAATTTTGCTATTGGCGGGTAACACTGTCAATCTACCTGCCACATTGGCAGGTAGCCAATGAGAATTGAGTGATTCATTAGGTTTTTTTTTTTACGTTTTCATTTTCATTGCGTTGGACCTTAGCTATAATGTGGCGGCACATTACTGGGGTAAAAAGGCCAGCTGAAACAAACAACCAACAAAAAGATGAGGATGAGTCAAAGAAAAGTAAAAGAAGACATTTTAATAAAAAAAAAAGTCAATTGGCGACAACGGCAAGGTTCGTGAGCGGCTCATTTATGACAGCCACTCTTGTTTCGTAACGTTTATGCGATCAGAAAGAAGATGAGGCCCTTTTCTGACTACGTTTGGATGTGCGAGTATTAAACTGTTGGTGAGATGGGATGAGATAATGTAACGCTGACGTAGGCTCCAGAACAATGACAGTTGCACAGATGTGTGCGTGTGCAACTGTAGTACATGTTGGGAGTTGGGAACCGGTGAGAAAATGTCCGGGACCCGGTAACTTTACCAGTAATTTAGTTCTGCTTAACGGTACCTGAACGCTGTAACTAAGCTGTCAGGACCTAGCTGTCTACGTGACTAAATCAGCCATCGACACAGCCGCGGGTGATTTGTTTACATACGAGCTGCGATAGGTCTATAGATCTGTTATGCGTGTGTGTGTCAAAATCAATGAATAAAAAGATTTTTTAAAAATGTATATTCTAAGAGTTATTATTACTTATATTGATTTCGTTAATAACTTGACAGCACTTAAATGTGTACAAGTTAAAGAACAATATTGTGAAATTCCCGTTTTTCACCTTTAGGCTGTGAGGCAAAAAAAAAAAGGCTGGTAAAAAGTCTCTGTGGCAGGTGAATTTTGATATCCACCTGCCACAGTGGCTGGTGGCCAAAAAAGTTAACTTCAGGCCCTGGAGCCAACCCTTCTTCATCCGGTGGGTAGTAGCCTATTACTTTTGATTTGCGCAGTGTAATTCACAGAATTGATTTCTCTGCTACCAGCCTCTGTCACGTATTGTGTGAGCTTGTGATGACTAGGGAAAGCGCGCAGCTGAGAAGTCCTGATTATATTGTCTGCTATATTTACTTATGTATTAAATCCAGGCAATTGGTTGTTGAAACATTGATTAAAATGCGTTGCGCGAGCGTCATATCTCCGACAGTAAACTGATGCCCCATTCTGCTTTGTAACGGGCGCTTTTCCGCGTCTCGGGTTAACAGCTGTTGCGACGCGAGCAATAACTGCCGCGTCCGGTGTAGACAGTGTTGAAGCTCATTCTGCCTAACGCTACATTACACAAGCAATACTTTATATAATTATAACACTGTTTCACGTTTAGTACATTTTGCTTACTACTTATTTAAAAATAGTATAAAAGTACTGTACATATGTAATTAAAAACGTTTTCATTATGATATTATTAATTTTACTTTAGTAAAAAGATCTGAGTTCTTCCTCCACTGGTAGAGATCCACCAGCCAAGCATATTTTTTACCGGCCAAAATAATAAACAGCCTTTTTGTGTCACATATACATTAATTTATATATAGGCTATATTTAAACATTTTTGTCATATTTCTGGTCTATTCTTTTCCATTTTTACTTTTATTTACACACATATTACACAATTTACACACATTAAAATAATATTTTTGTGGTGGTGCCTATATGCAAATAGTTCTGTACAAATTAAATGTATTGTATATTTAATAAAATATATGCAATAATAATATATTATAGCCTAATTATTTAAAAAAAAAAATTTTAGTTTTACTCTGCCTATTTTTTTACTCCATTTACTCTGACTGATCCGATCAGTAACTGAAGGACTGGAAATATCAGTTGTTTTAACCATTCATTAAAATGAATCGGTTCAAAGGAGTCATTAGTTCGCGAATCGGACGTGTCATTATCGGACGTGTTCGCGTTGTGTGATTATCCCGGCAGCTAGGACATCCCACAAGATTTGTGTCAACACAGAAAACATTTAATCACTGGATAGGTTTTTTCGTTCATTTAAAGTGTGGTTTATGTCAGCTGAATGTGCGGAACGCTTCAGAGAAGATAAGGTATTTTAGCACAATTCACACCCAGCGGTAATTCAGGAAAAAATATATCCGAATGCTCCACATGAAACTATGGTCTTCCGACCTTTTACCATCGTGTCGATTTATTTTGATTAATATGTGACAAGGAGAGAGAGCAAGAGAGCAAGATAGCGCTAAGAGAAAGAGTGCGCGCGCGCGACCGGCCGGGGCGCTCTCTCTCTGCTCGTGCTTCAGTTGCGCCCTGTCACACGCACTACTGTCGTCTACATTACTCACAGATCAAATAAGACTATGGCGGGACAAAAAATTCGCTTTGGAGCAGGAGCATCGATAAGAGGACTCGTTAACGTTAACTCGTTACATTACTATTTTGGTATGAATATTCACCCGCCAGTGGGGCGGATAGCCTTTTGAGATTTACTCGCCAAACGGAAAATCTAACGTTACCCGCATTTGGCGCTTGGCGGGTGTTAATTTCGGACCCTGTTTACATTAAATTAATACATGATTAACTAACTGTATTTTTTCTATGTACATTTCTGAAATGCACTTTCTGTAAAGCTGCTTTGAAACAATATGTATTGTGAAAAGCGCTATACAAATACATTTGAATTGAATTGAATAATAAGGTTTTGTCAGTGACACTTTTGGTATATTTATTGATATGTTATGTTTTATATAACGTGACTAAATTAAAAGACAAAGTCGTTAGTGAAGATTATGCAACAGTATTTAGAACATAATAGAACATGCAATGCAAACTAGTTTGGTTACAGCTCAAATGTATCATTCTCAATCTATTATTCACCCTGTCTCCATTACATATCTTTGTCACACAAGTGTTTGATCACCACATTTGAGTGATCATTGCAAAACGTGTATATATTTATTCTGTTTATACTGTGTATTCTATATGCAGCACCCATCAAAAGTTTGTACACACCAATAGGAAAGTGTGTCCAAACTTTTGACTGGTACTGTACTATAATACACATACATAATATTGCTACTGTATTATAATATACACATAAATAATATCGGCCGATTTATCGGTATCGGCCCCTAAAAATCCATATCGGTCGGGCTCTATTAACAATGTTGAAAATGGTTGTGCTGCTTAATGTTTTTTTGTTTGTTTGTTTGTTTAATTTCTTTCAAAAAAATCATACTGATACCTAACTTTTGAACAGTAGTGTATAGACTACGGTAACCTTTCAGCTTACAGTAGTGTAAGCTGAAAGGTTTTAACCCATCTTCCCTCCTTTCCTGTTGTCTCTAAACCGACTCCACAGTCAGTAAATCACTGTTATGTCTTCCACTCGCTCTCATGTAAGCTGGTAGCAGAAACAGCCAAGAAATAGTAAATGATGATGAATGAGGCTCTCCAAGATCATTACGCAGCAACTCCATCATCCTAATCAGCGATGCTTATGTAAAAGACACGGCAGTACAGCATGTTCTTAGAATTTCAAATGACCCCGGATCGGTGTAACTTATTTTACATTTAGATGTTTGCGTCATATCCACCATCTCTTCTCTTTCTGTAGGAATGGACGTATCATGACATCTGGGAGTTCCTGAGAACCCTGTATGTGCCCTACTGTATTCTGTATGACAAAGGGTGAGATGCTTCTATTCACAGTCTGTCTGCACTCTTCAAAATGAGATTATCTCATAGGCGTCATTTACGGGGGGGATGGGTGGGACATGTCCCCACCACTTTTTGCCAGGGTCGATATTGTCCCCACCACTTTTGAAACATCTCGCGGCATGGATGTAGCCTACCAATACAAATAAAACATATCCAGTTAACTAGCAGCATTCGTTTCATTCATTTGTTAAATAAGAGGCGATCTAGCGCTGAAGTGTGTTGTCTTCACTCGGATGCGCGCTTCAATCCGTTGCGGAGATTCTATTCGTTCCGGTGAAATCACAAATCAAAATGCACACAAATATGTCCCTGCTTCTCTGGGTTCTAATCCGCACTCGTATAGTTTTTTTTTCTCTCATCAAAACCGATAATGTTTATCAGTGATAAAGTATATCAAGATTCTTGATATACAACCACTGATAAACATTATCGGTTTTGATGAGGGGAAAAAAACTATACGAGTGCGGATTAGAACCCAGAACCTCCGACACGCTTGGCAAAAATTCTGCCACTGGACCATTACGATACTACAAAAATTCACGATACTAACAACATATATTAGATCTCATTGTACGATCAATTAAACCCAAAGTACCATCACATTTTTGGTCGGACATCATCACATCTTTGTATACATTATTTATTTATTTATTTATTTATTTATTTACATCAGTAAGCTACAGGACATCGTCTTTCAAAACATGACCTGCGCGAAAGAGAAAAAAAGAATGAATGCGTCATTGTACCCAGCACTTTTGAAAATACCCTTCCGAATGCGTCTCTGTCCCCACCACATTTCAAACCAAACTGACGCCCATGGATTATCTTCCTGGTTTTGCTTATGCCCTTATCTCTCTTCCTTATAGATACACTTCTTTAGGCAGTATGGATAACACATGCAGGAATTCATCTCTTAAAGTGGTGGATGAGAAAGGTGTGACCCGCTACAAACCCGCCTACAAGCTGGAAAATGAGGAGGAGGAACGCAACTCCAGGGCATGACTGACTTCTCTAAACAAACTCGTCTTAATATTTTAAGAAGACACAATGTACAACTGAAGACATTTTGAAGAAGGAACAGAATTGAAATTCTTTCAGATAAAGACTTCTTGAAAAACCTGTAGTTTGTGTATAGAGTGTCCGTCCACTGATGTAGCTCTAGGAAAGCGATGTCACTATGCTGTATTTAAGATGTATTAAAACAGTATCATAGTGTCTTGTTCTTTTTTTAATCATTTCTGGTATTATCAGTGGACACCATCATGATTTGTGTTTTGTAACTTACCTTTGAGAAAAGAGTAACCGTCTGCGAGGGAATTTGCTTAGCACATCACTGGCAGCAACTTCCTCCGAGTTTTTATGTTAGAAAACAGGACGAACTAGTTAAAATAATTTAATTATGTAGTGCTTCAGTTCATGCAAACAAACATCTGAACACTCGATTGGACTTACTTGTTGACGTCTGGAGAGCACAGAGCAGTCTTCTCTAGACTAGAGCGTAGACATCTTAATAACTGACACGCGCAGTGCCCAACGCAGCCCGAGTTAATGAAATGCAATGGCGGTTTCCGGCCTCACGGGTGCGATATAGTCACGTTGTACATTTACAATAATAAATACGATATCCAGGCCAGATTTAATCCACGAATATTGATCTCCTCCCCTACCTGGAAATCAGTCAGCGGTCTGGCAACGAGAATCGATGCTGTGCAATTTAATAAAGCGACTCGTTTACGGACGCGCGGCCTGTTACACATCTGATTACCAGCAGCAGCACCATCATCAGTCCATGCGCTACTTGTTACAGATGATGATGGTGGTGCTGCTGCTGCTGGTAAATCAGATGTGTGAACTACCTTTAAGCTATTTTATTTTATTTTGACTGTTCACTTAGTTAAATCTTAATTTGTTCTATAAACAAACATTTAATTTAAGTTGACTAGACATTTTTTTGAGTTTTGCTGATGGTTATTAAAACCGCTCAAATATTGAAAATATTCACGCCTGAAAAAGTCATCTAGTATTTCTGTACAGGGGCATAATCCATTGGTGACAGGCGCGGGACATCCTACTTTTCAAAATCCCGTTTGTGTCTCCCCTCACTTTCAAATTCGTTTGTTGTGATTTTTTAATCGCCACGAGTTAGCAGGACACAGAAGGGAGCCTGTGTCGATGCGCGCGTCCGCGTCCAGAAACGTTGGTGCACAGGGGTTAAAGCTTGGGCCCAATTTAGGCTACATTGTGAGAAACAAGGTTGTGTTCATATTCTGGTGTTCAGCTATTTTAATATAGGCCTAATATCATCATCGTATCAGTAGATCTAAGATGGACCAAAATAAACCATTAAAATATTAAGTAAATAAGTGATACTCGGTGCCACAGTGACACTCTTGCCCCAAAAAGTACTGCTATACCACGATACTCAATATGTTGTCCTACTGTGAGTCATTTCCCCCTGTTGCACCTACACAAAGTTTGAGGGTTCCCCCACCTGCCAAATCCCACTTTAACCACTTTTGGTGCACACTAAAAAAAGCTCAAGGAAAGTTCTAATGAACAGGTATCGCGGCAGCACCGTCAGCGATGAAACGCCAGAAACAGCAACAGATGAATTTGTCATCGTGAATGAAAAGAAAGAAAGGAGATGTGAGTCGGTTGATTCAGTAAATTAGCTCAGGTCAGGATACTCATATCTAGCTTAACGTTGACTAAACGTTAACATGCTAGGTAACTTCATGTAGGCCTACTGTTCGCTAACTATTTAATGTTGATGGAAAATTCTGTGTACCATGACGAGTCCACTTTAAACCACAACATTTTCTGTCATCAATAACAAGCTGACTCTGGCTGCTAGTTAATGTTCGACTAAATATGATCATAAGTCAGGCGTTTTCATATCAGAGAACAGATGTGGTGGAGCTGCTTCAGAACAGAGAGGGTGAGACAGGGAGAAGCTGTAGGTTAACTTAGCGTTAGGTTATGTGCTGTATGAAGGGCCAGGTGATTTTGATTTGTTGGTGATAAAACGGAAGAAGTGTAGGCCTACGTGATAAATAGTGAATACAGTTTGAATATTATCAAATAAAATGTTATTGTAGGAGCCAAAGTGTGTGTTTAGATGTTTAGAATATTTTGTTAACATGGTCACATCATCACATGGGTGTGGTTTCAAATTGTGTGGTGGGAGAGAAACAAGAGTCTTTATTATTTGCTGGATTTTGTATCACCATAGTCTCTAAATGTAGGCTATGCAAATGCAGAAAATGGGATTCAAATCGAAAACATTTTCCTCCATTTTGTGACCACACCCCACCCTTCTAACCACATTTCTACACAACCACCACCAAGGTAGACACCAATTTTATTACAGCCATAGTTAAACATTACAATTTTATGTCAAAATTGCCTACAATTTAAAAGAACTTACAATATATTTCATTACGAAAAGAATGTTTTACAGAGCTCTCTCACATGCACATAGAGGTTCAAATGTTGAATGAGTTTTAGTTAATGAAGTCAATGTTAATAATGCATTGCTCTTATTCTGCCATTAATAAATCCAACACGGTCTCTCTATCAATCTCTATGTGTCTTAATTACTGAAATGAGTGGAATATATCTATTATTAAGAAGCAGGTGTCCACACATTCAAACCATGATGCAGAATTTCAAAGCGTCACACATTTTCCCTTTATCAAGATCACATTGAATGCTGATGTATTCAGAATGACTCATGTACTTTCATCAAGGAGTGGCAACAGATACTCATATTAAAAGGTGAATGAGAATGAAAAATTACTGACTCTTGACAACAACTGACATCGTACAACATCATCCTTCAAAAAATTATCTTGAGCTTCTCGCAACCTCCAAACATCATAAAGGTGAGTTTGATAATACTGTTTTATATTTAGTTTATTATAGACTCCTTAATAGAGATGATATAGAATATCTAGATTTAGTTTGATAATTGAGGTAAAATTGAAAACATGATAAATAAATTTACTGTTAAAACCCAAACTGTTAAAATTGGTTTAAAATTCTCTGTACTTCCGATGCTTCAATTATTATAAAAGATTAGTTTACATGTTATTGTCTCAAATGGAAACACAGCGCATTGGACATTATTATAGTGCTGAAATTAACCTTTATTGTGAACTTTTAATTTCAAGTTTTACTGTTTAGTGAGCTTTAAAGTTTTTTTTATTCATCTAGCAGTTGACTGGTGAGAATACATGTAAAAAACTTTTTTTGACGAATTTTGTCACAAACACTCATGAAAAAAATATATACTTAGGCTACTAAACAATTTCTTCAAGAGATACATTTAAAATGAAAAAATGCTGAACATGTTACAAACGGTTGGAAACTATTTCAGATTAAATACTATGAGAAATGCTTCAATCTGGCTATGTAAATTTAACAAAGAACTGTCATTTTCTTTTTTTGAATTTTTTTCATCTAGAGACTATGGCCAGATCTTTGAAACTTATCACATGGAACACTTGTGGAATTAGAGACACTGCCGATGTCCAACAGAAAAAAGAAAAGATTGGTCAGTGGCTAAATGGACAACAAGCATCTGTTGCATTTCTTCAAGAGACACATATAGGTATCAATAATTTTAGACATGTTGAAGACATTCGCGGTTGGAAACCTTTTTACAGTGTTCATCATCCCCGTAGCAAAGGTGTTGCGATATTGATAAAAAATGATTTGCCTTTTGAGTATATACAACATGATGTGGACCCCACAGGCAGCTATTTTGTACTTATCTGCAAATTATACGGTAAATGCTTCACTCTAGTTAATGTATATAACCATGCAAAAGAACACAAGGTCTTGCAGTGTCTTTCTGAATATCTTTGTCAGACTGCCAAAGGTGTCTTGATAGTTGCAGGAGATTTCAATACTGTTCTAAACACAGATCTTGACCGGGAGTTTCCAACTGGACATACAGAGCCCCTTAGACCTTATCTCGAGGAATTCATCTCATCTTTAATGCTTGTAGACATCTGGGGACAAAACAATCCTTATGAGAGAGATTCATTCACTCGTTTTCCATGGAAAACATCCAAACACCAAATCAAAAAAACATCAGGTCAGAAGAAAACAAAGAAGAAGATAGGTGCATCAAGACTAGACATGGTCTTCATGCCACGGAATGACGTGGGGCTTGCTGAGAGTTGTGAAATCTCAAAGGTTCAAAGGCATTATATTTCAGATCACCAACCTGTACTTCTGAGTCTGTGTTTGCCAGAACCAGATAACTCTACAACGGTTCTCTCAAATGACCTGACAGAATGTTCTAGTGGCCTAAAGAGTACGGTCACTAAAAAGAGGCCTTATAAGAGGAGACCAGGTGAAATTTGTGAAGCTGAAGTTTTGAAAGCGTTAATGTCGCTTGGAGAATATGAAACCCCACTTGGAGAAAATGTGCAAACATTAAAGATTAACAAAGAGCAAAAATCACAAGAACTTAAAGAGCTTTTTAACCAAATGATTAGAGAAGGAATTCCAAAGGGCTTCACTGACAGTGTGAAAGAAAACGGAAGGTACCAATTTAGAGAAGAGTACATGATACTTGCCACAATACTTCTTAGGCGAGTGGAAAAATTTCTTCAGCCCTCATTTAAAAGCAAAACAATGAAAATGAGCTGCAAACTCTTCATCATTGTTAGCTTTCGCAGCATTCCCAAAAAAATCAAAAGGGATTTTTTAACGCAAGCTTTAAAATCTCTGAAGCCCATCCATCCATCACCCCCACGTGATTTCAAGATTGTGGAAAAGCTGCTTCCAAGCACAGGCCAGTATAAAGAGCTTAGAGAAGGCTGCCCACTTACACCAACTCTTCTGACAATGGCTCTGAAACACCTAGCCTGTGTCCTAAAGAAGGATTTGAAAGAATCTGTGGTTGATGTATGCCATCATAGAAAATGCATTACTATCTACATGAATGCTAACCAGTATCTCATTCTAATGCGAAACATTAACAGATTTCAATTGCAATCAGGGATTTCTCTTTTACCAAAAGTAGGACCAGTTTGGAAAAGGAGAAAGTCATAAAATGCCATATCTGTGTGAGTAACGTTGTGCATGTAACATGCATGACAATTTAATGTTATATAATCTTCCAGAACAGGAATGAAGTGAGATGAAACATGGGATTAATGGTTATGATGCAAATTACTATATGCTTAAAAAAAACCTGGGTT